TTTCCATTTAAAAAAAAATTGAGACAAGGTCTTGCTAGGTTGCTAAGGTGCCCAGGTTGGGCTTTTTTTTTTTTTGTCAGAACCAGGGATTGAACTCAGGTCCTTGCACTTTGCCAGTAGGTTGGGCTTTGAACTTGCAATCCTCCTGCCTCAGCCTCCCGAGTGCTGGAATGACAGGCATGTGTCACCACTTTTGGCATCAATGTAATCTTCAAAAAAATTTAATGACAAAACTTTCATGAGGATCATTATATTTAAATGTTAACTAAAGACAGAATCAGGGGCTGGAGAGATGGCTCAGTGGTCTAAAGCACCTACTTGAAACAAGCTTGGCAATGCACAGGGACCGCGGTTCAATCCCCCAGCACCACATGCCAGCCAGCCCCGCCCCCTGGTGGGCTGAGCTGGCCACACACACACACACACACACACACACTCACACAACAAATAAATAAATAAATAAATGTTTAAAAAAAAAATAAAGACAGAATCAGTAAGAGCACCAGGTGGAACTATACTGGAGCCTGAGGCACAGGGGAAAATCAGTGATCCTGATGTGACTCCAGGCCCCGGAGGCATCCATGTCCACTGTGTCTGCTTCACATTCTGGACTTAAAGGCTGTGTAGACATTTTAGGGTACTTTCACAGCATGAAATTTGGGGCGCTTTATTATAAACAATACATAATAGGAAGAACCACCCCTGTGTGCTAAGATGTCATCACCTCAGCTTCCTCCATAACCTTGCCACCCCCAGCGATGAGCCCAGGGCTTTTGCACTGAATCACATTCCTGCTCCTTTGCTATTTTTTTTTTTTTTTTCCTTTGCTATTTGGAGACAGGGTCTCACTAAGTTGCCACAGTACCTCGGCTGGGCTCAAACTTGGGATCCTGCTGCCTCAGCCTCCGAGAATGATGGGATTCCAGGAAAGCAGTGCAGCCTGTTCCACTACGCCTGAGGAGCTTTCCCACCCTCTCCAGGCCTCTTCCTTGGCCCTAAGGACTTCCAGGAAACAGAGGGTCATGGAAGGCACAATGGCTCTTCTTACCACCAAGGAAATGGTCAGATCTGGGCTGAAAGATCAGAGTAGGGGCCGGGGAGATGGCTCAGGAGAATAAGTGCTTGCCTGGCAAGTGCAAGGGCCTGAGTTCAATCCCTGGTTCTGTCAAAAGAAAGAAAAGAAAGAAAGATCAGAGTAGGTGATGGGAAGCAATGAGGAGATGGTGGTGGTGGGGCCTATGGAAGGGGCCAGGGAAGCCTCTCTCAGGCGGACATTTCCACTGTACAGAAAGTGCCTTCCAGAATGTGAAGCAGACACAGTGGACATGGATGCCTCCGGGGCCTGGAGTCACATCAGGATCACTGATTTTCCCCTGTGCCTCAGGGGAAAGTGGAGACAGCCTAGGAGTGGGGTCTGGGCAGTGGGAGAAAAGAAGTTACACTAGTTTTATAGGTTTTACTTGAGCAATTAGGTTGATGAGTACTTTTTACTGAGATAAGAGAAAAAGAGAGGAATTAGAGGTTTTTGGAAAAAAAATGAGTTTCTCCTGTGGCCATAAATTTGAATTATATATTAAATAATTCACCCAGTGACATAATCCAGTGACAGCAAGGAGAATGAAGACCAGAGATACAGATTTACCTATATTTATATTTACATCTATCTATAGATAGCATTTAAAAGATGGTACTAGAGCAGGGCATGCTGGTGCACAGCTGTAATCCCAGCATTCAGGAAGCTGAGGCAGGAGGATCACTATGAAGTAGAAGCTAGCCTGAATTACAGAAGGAGGTTCTGTCTTAAACAAAACAAAACAAAACAAGCAAGCAACAAAATAAAACACCACAGCTCTAGACAAAATCACTCACAGAGAATGTAGGTGGAGATGAGAGAAGGCTGGGCTGACAACGTGCCAGAGGAGACACAGCAGAAACTACGGTGAAAGTAGCAGGCAGGGGAAGGCTTGAAGACTGCACCACAGAAGCCCCTGAAGCAGTGGGGAACTGCCAGCCGGGTCAGAAGCCGAGGAGAGGCCAGGGAAGAAGAAAGTGGGAAAAGCAAGCCCCAGGAAGGGAGGCTGGAGTCCAGGAGGGTCCTTGCCCCTGAAGAGTGCCATCCAGTTTCACCTTTCTGGAGGGACTGTGGATGAAACTTGGGTTCTTTTTCTTTTTTAATTTTAATTTTTTTGGGGGGGCTTCTTTTTCAAGATGGAAATACAAGCTCATTTGTACATCAGTGACCATGATCCACCAGAGAGAAAGGAAGAAGCTACCCGCAGAAAGGTACAAAGGGACACTACGCTCATGGGAAGGAGTGGACAAGGGGTCAGCAGGCTGGCAGATCGGAGTCGGGAGGCGGAGCCTTCCTTGAGAAGAAGAGGGGAGGCTGTCCTGTGTCGACGACACCCACAGCAGCAAGACTTCCAAGGCTTCAGTCTCTCTGTCACTGGCTTCCCAGACTCATGCCTGAGAGGCCCCTTCCCCTCTAGCACAGGAAGTCGAGGGCGACTTCTTCCTCCTAATACTTTCCTCTTTGTCCAGACTCATGCATGCACGCAGCACACGCTCAGTAACTGACACAGTTCTGGGCATACCACAGATACTAGATATATATTTATGCAAATGACAAAACAAAGCCTTACTGCTATTTAAGGTCAGCCCATGTCACCGTGACTCCACATTGTGCCACCCAGACTCAGGCACAGGCTTCTTTGCTACCATCATCTAGGGGCTTCCCAGGTTTTGCAGTTTGGTGACCTCAAGCTCTGGGAAATTCCTCTCGGGTCCTTTCCAGCTACCTGCAGTGAAGACCCCCCTAAGACCTCGCTGAGCCTCTTTGCCTGTCGTCGTGGAAACCGCCGGGCAACTAGTTAACATTATCTCAGGGGTGATCGGGGAACCAGCACCCTCTTGTGGACAATGCGCGCCCATGCACCCTCTGCGTCGCACCAAAACCATTTCAGTTATCGACATTTCCTGAGGACCCACGAAGAGTCTGGAACACACGGAACTAATTGGAGGCAAACAGTTTCTGTGTTGTCACACGAACTGACGTCCAACTGAAAAGGCTGTGACAGAGCGTCATGCTCCTGATGCCTTGGCCACAGCCTCTGCTGCTGGGGAAGAAAGGCAGAGCCGCGGCCGGAAGAGGTGGGCCAGCCCTGATCCGGAGCTACCAGCAGGTTTCTGGATCTGCGACGCACACTGCTGTGGAGCCTGAGGCGACAGAGTATAAATCCACAAGTCACGAGTTCCCGCCCAGGTCTCGTCCTTACTCCCTCCTTGCCACAGCTGTGTGCAGGGACCCTGGACTTCCGCGCAGGTGCCTCTGCCCAGAAGGATGCTCTGCTCCCGCTGTCATCAGCAGGTTTCAATTTAGCACACTTGTCAGACAACACAGTGATAGCGTGGCATTCAGTTCCAAGGCTGCCCCAAACACACACTCAGGGTGGACATCGTTCCCCAACCATATGCTGCCCTAGTTTTGTTTTTCTCCTTGAGACAGGGTCTCAGTATACAGTTCAGGCTGGACTTGAACTTGCTATGTAGCTCTGGCTGATCATGACCTTGAGATTCTCTTGCCTCAGCCATCCTAGTGCCAGGGTTATGGGTACACAGCACTGCCTTTTTCTTTTTTCTTTCTTTCTTTCTTTTTTTTTGCTCCGAATGCCTTCAGGGCAGGTTTGGCTGGCTTGAGTTGTGGGGATCAAACCACAGCAACCTGATCCTGACTGCTTTGTTGAAGCAGCCACTTAAAGAACTGAGCTAAGGGGCAGGCCCCCTACACTGCCTTTTACTACCTTCCAAACCCTTCCATTTCTCCAAGCCTCAGTTCAAATGCTACCTACTTTAGAGAATCCTCACTTGACCCCTCCTGTTGAAAACAGAAACTCTGGGCTGGGTGTGATGGCACACACCTGTAATCCCAGCACACAGGAGGCTGAGGTAGGAGAATGATTTCGGGTTCAAGACCAGCCTGGGCTATAAAGTGAGCTCAAGGCCAGCGTGTGCTGCACAGCGAGACCCTATCTCAAAGAGACAAAAAGAAAAGAAAAGAAAGGAAGGAAGGAAGGAAGGAAGGAAGGAAGGAAGGAAGAAAGAAGAAAAAGAAAACCAGAAATTCCAGCTGGGGAAAAAAAAAAGCAAGCAAACAAACAAACTAGAATTTCCTTTCTCTGTAACAGTGATCCTTTTAATCCCTGCTACGTGCTGTATGTTGAAAGCATAAACTTCAGGTAGGACAGATCTGGTTTGAATCCAGTTGGCTGTGTAAACTTGGAAAGTATAATTCACCTGTCATCAGTTTCATTTTGAAAAACAGCAACAAAAAAATTTACCTCTTTTCACTATTCATTCATTCCAGCTTCTGAAAGCCAAGGTTTGTGCTTTTACGGTTACTTTGAGAATGAAATGAAATGATATATGGCAAGGGGCTGACACATAAGGGCACTCAACACTGAAAACTCAATACTATCATTATCTACTTTAGTTCCTTAGAAGCAGGGCATTCTTCAGGGTGATTTCTTTTCTTTTCCTTCTCTTTTTGGTGGTGCTAGGGATTGGCTCCATGGCTTTATTTTTTTTTATTTTTATTATTATTATTTTTTTTGGTGGTACTGGGGATTGAACTCATGACCTTGAACTTGCCAGGCAAGCACTTATTCTACTGAGCTATCTCCCCAGCCCAGCTCCATGGCTTTAGAAGTGCTAGGTGAGAGCTTTGCCTCTAAACTACAATCCCAGCGCAGTGAGGTAACTTCCGCTGGAGGTGAAGCCCCACCTAAGACTAGGACTGGGCCAGCTGGAAAGCACCCCCAGGCAGAGCTCACGATGTGATGGTCACTTTCTGAACTACTTGCTGACCTCTACTGGACCAGCCTCTTCCATCTCTTAAGGTTGTCTAGGGCACTCAAAGGCATGGCTCTTTGTGACCAGGAGATGACTTCCTGGAACTCACTTGTCTCTCCCCAAACTTTCTTCAACCCACAGGAAGCCCCTACCTTCATACTGGACTTCCAGGTGCATCGTGCCCAGTGTCTTCAGCACGCAGTCCACGATGCTGGGGTGTGTGGTTCCCACGATCACCTGACAAGACAGACATGAAGACAAAGCAGTTACTTCTCAGATCTGACACTCCAGGCAGAAGTGTAACTGGGACTTCCAAACAGCCAGGTGCTGGGTAAATTGGGGATGAGAGATTCGCTGGGCCAGGTTCTCCCCGTGGGGAGGAGGGCAGAGAGGGCAGCCAGATGATGGCCACGAGTCTGCCAGGGTGCCACTGGAGCCTTGGCTCAGGACACGTTGAACTGAGGACTGGCAGCCCCCTGCTAGAGCTTTGGGACAAAGTCTGCGACTGTGGCTAGGGGAGGGGATGCCACAGGCTGGGGACAGTGGGAGTCAGTGAAGCTCCAAAAATCTTCTCTTTCTCAGGAACCTTACTTGTCTTCTTCCTACCCCTTCAAACTTTACCCGCACTGTTTCCATTAGCTGCTGTGCAGACGAAACAAGGGTCACAAGCTCTCTGGTGCTGGCATATAGAAGGCACTTAGGGCAAACCGGAAACTGTGCCTGTGAAGGTCAGATCTTTGTTACTGCCCCTGTCTCTGTGGTTCACTGCTTGGCCTCAAAGCTGTCCTTTCCCAGTCCTCTGCCCAGAAATCTTATGTATTTCTGTTTCAGTTATCACTGCTCTGCTTATAAAGTTTACACTGACATGTTTTTCTAGGGCCTTTCTCTGAAGCTTCAGGCTTTTATTTTCTACTGCCTGTGGGCAGACTGATCTCTCTGTCTGTCTGTCTGTCTGTCTGTCTGTCTGTCTCTCTCTCTCTCTCTCTCTCTCTCTCGTAGTACTAGGGATTGAACCCACGGCCTTGACACAGGGTCTCACTAAGTCACTAAGTGGCTTTTGAACCTTCTGCCTCAGCCTCCCAGTGTTATAAGATCACAGGTTTGTGCCACCATGCTCAGCTTTTCTGTTCTCAATGGTATACAACTCACCCTGCTGCTAATCCCGAGGCTGGGTGTCAATTTTATTTTACTACCCTTAGCCCCAGATCCTCTACCTTAGAAATTCTATCCAACTTGATTCTCCTGCCATTGCCACTGTTTGGGCCACATCTGTCACTGTTCACTGCCTCCCTGCCTCTGGCCCACGTGGAGAGATTTTGATGGTTCTTCTCACTAGGCACACTGTCCTCCTGAGGTCACCACGGCCCAACTCTGACTTCACTTGCTTTCTAGGCCATTGAGAGGGGGCAGAAGTCAACAAGAAAAGGAGGAGCTTTTCCAAGCAGTGGAGATCTGCTCTCGTCACTTCCATGCTGGCCACACTTATACCACGATGCTCCCCTATCAAATTGAAGTTAATCCTTTCTACAGTCTTCTCATCATCCTTGTTTGTCTCAGCCACTTTGAGGCCTGCCAGCATCTTTCTTATCCTTCAGTAGATAGGCCAAGTCACTCTGCCCCACCTTGGGAATGACGCTGATGGACCAGCAGGGCAGCTATGTGTGCAGCCAGAGAGGTGCAGCTGCTGTGAGGCCACCGAGCTGCAGCGTAGCCGCAGGAGCCCGCAGCCCGGCTCACCTGGGCAGTCCTGAGGGTCTGCAGTGCCAGCTGCTGAGCTTTCGGGGAGGCACAGGGCAGCAAAGCTATGAGACCTTTGTACACTTGATTCTGGTACTTGGGGTTACCATGGACCAGAGAATCCAGCAGAATCTGCACTTCTTCTTGAGTCTCTTCTGACTTAGACTTAGCCAAAAATTCTGCTATAGATCGTACACCTGGGGAGAGAAGAGAGAATGCTAAATTGGAAGGGATTTAGGAAAATGATTCCCCACTCAAGATTACATAATGTAGAGAGAATTTGATCTTTTCAGCCAAGGCTAGTCAACTGAAGCAAATAATGAGGCTCAGTTTTCAACACTATCTTGTTTACCTCTAGCTGTGGGATTTAAGGATTTTGCTTCAGCACTAGCGTGTCACAATCTGTGTTTCAAGATTTAAAATGGCACTGGGTGTGGTGGCACAGGCCTGTAATCCCAGCGCTCCGGAGGCTGAGGCAGGAGGATCGCTGTGAGTTTGAAGCCGGCCTGGCCTACACAGTGAGTTTAAGGCCTGCTACAGTGGGACCTTGTCTCACAAAACAAAACAAAAGCAAAAAGGCTCTGCAGAACATACAATGACACATGCAAATTTACTGTAGGAAAAGTGTCCAGCAGTTCAGAATGTGTTTTTGCCAAATACCAGTTCATTAAACCCCAGGAACCAGGGAGGGGGATGTGTTCAACCCATTTTGTGAGAAAAGTCACTGAGGTTCAGAGAGGCTGTAGAGGGGACAGGAAGGGAGAAAGGAGGCCCTGTGGGGTGTGCAGGGCAGAGGTGCTTTGGAAAGTGGCTGCAGGTGTCGGCCTCTCCCTTATCTCCCTCAGACTGGTGCTTGATTGATTACTAAGACTCCTGGTCGTCATCTTTCTCACCAGACTGTAAGCTTTTTGAGGATACGGGTTATATTTTATTCATCTTTGTACCCTTAGCACCTTTATATATACCTAGCACACAGTAGGTATTTGATACTTTTATTTCTAGAGTTAGTCACAACTCAGTTTCACACAGGATTTTAAGCAAGAGTTAACTGCTGAACGGATGTGTGAAAGAGGAAGTATTTAAAATGGGGAAGTATTTCTCAAACCATCATTGAAAGTTGAACAAATAATCAGGGAAATGATAAATCTGGCTTTCCAGCAGTGATGGGGAGAGAAGCTAACTGAGTCCGCTGTACAAAATGCCTCCTGCACAACCAGTTCTACATGGTTTTTATTCCCTTCAGTGGTGGGTGCGACCTCCAATCTCCCCAGGCCCCCACAGACATGGACTCTCACGCCCACTACCTACCATAACTTTCACAGATGAGCTCCTTGTACTTCCTGCCAGAGCTTGCAACAACCTGCAGAAGCTTGATGGCCTCTTTCTTGTCCTCTTCCTTAACCTTTTCTAACCCAAGTATTTCCAGGAGTGTCAGGACACCTCCAACCTCAAGAAATTCGATCAGGTACCGATTGCTGTCGGGGCAGGGTGGGGTGGGGAAGAACAGGAATAAAACACATCAAATGTCTTCACACAAATACTTTTAAGGCATCCCAAGTTCCTTTCTTCACATACTTTGCTGCTTATCCAGGAAATCTCTATAAATAATGTGATACAATAATGTGATATAATACAAGCAATTCTTCTTTTTTGTGGCTGGCTCAGCCTTCCCTGGGGGCGGGGCTGGTGCGGCATGTGGTGCCAGGAATCGAATGCCATCCCTGTGCTTGCGTAAGCTTGCCTGAGCTTGCCTAAGCAAGGTGCTTTAGAGCACTGAGCTATCTCACCAGACCCCTGGAAATTCTTTCTAGTGGAAAATACTGGAGTTAAAAACAATGAACATTCCTTTCTTTTGGCTTTCCAGTCTCTGTCCCCTGCTTTTGATGGCACTCAATGTCCCTTGTGGCATCATTGCTTCCTCCACTCAAGGGCCTGTGATTCTGGTGGGGTAAGCAAGTGATGGTGTGTTATCCTTCCTGTGAAGTTTGACTTGTTGCCAAATGTGTGACCTAAGTGGGTCTGATGAGCCTTGAAAGTCAGGATTTTTTAAAATATTAATTTTATTGAGAAAAAAGTAGCAATGAGACAGTTTCAAAACAGGTTAGTAGGACAGTTACAATAATTAAGACATTGCATATTGTTGTCTTTGTAGTAGTTATTCAGAGGGCAAGATGCAAGTCAGGATGTTTTTGGGATCCCTGGGAAAGACAGGTCAGCAGTCAGCGTGGCTATAGTGTAAAGAGTGTATCTGGAGCACGAAGGGATCCCAGAACACATTGGCCTCTGAGTTGAGTACAGAGGTAAAAAACTGAGAAGCAGAAAAAGAGGAAAGAAGGAGAATGAGAATTAACAACCCCGTTTGGGCTCCTGGATCTAGTCAGGCCTGAAATACGTATTTCTATTTTTTTGGCTTTAAGTGAAAGAGCCTGTCCATACAAGCCCTTGACTTGTATGACTGCAGTCTGAGCTGCTTCTCCATCATCCACAACTGAGGAAAAGAGCCAAGGAGAGTAAAGAGGTAAAGAGAGGAGGAACAAGTGAGGTGGGTCCTGCTGATACCCACCAGCCAGGGTCCTGTGCAGTGTGAATGCCAACATCATGAGTCTCACTTGCCATGGAGACCCCAGAATCTGAGTGGAGGTTAGGGGAACAGGATTTGACTGCAGAATTTGTGTGGAACTCACCTGTTCACAGCTGTCAAGAAGATGCCAATGGATCTCAGGAGCTTTTCTAATCCTGAGCCAGTCATATAGCTTTCAGCATGTTAAAGAATACATTTCAGGGTGGTCTTCATGCAAAACCAGGGTGACCAGGCAGCTGGACCATACATTTTACCCAAGGAGGAGTCCCTGGCTGCAGGGCAAGGGGCAGCACAGAGGTAGGGGCAATAGGGGTGCTGGCTCATTCCCTGTTCTCCAGGAAGTCTCCCTAGAACTAGGAGGCTTGAACCATCAAAGGTGCAGAAGAAAGCTGGGATCCCGTTTCCCAAACCTTTAGGGCATTGTCATTGTATCCCTGGGTCTCAGCTTAGTTTGCTAATCCTAGACTTTTCTAAAAAGAATTAGCTTCATCGTTAATTCTCAATTTCATACTTGCTCCAAGTTTTACAGTGGAGGTCACTATTCTTATGAAGAATTGCATGGCTTCCTTACAAGAACAACAGGAGATGGTGGAAAAATTAAACCCTGATGTAAAACAACCTCAGTATTTAATGTTATTTTTTAATGTGAGCCTTTGCAAAAAGCCTCATTGTAATAAAGCACCCAGAGCACGCATCAGCTCAGATACAAGGTATGAAATCAAGCCACAACAGAAAGGGAACCAGTCAACAATTACTAGGCTCATAACACATCACAAGCTCTTAGAACACTTAAGAAATTAGCTGAAATTATTGCAGCTCATGGAGGGTGACTGAGAGCTTCCGAGACTGATAAAAGCGAATGTAATGGGGTGGAGGTAATGGTGCTTTGTTGGGGGAGGGTGGGGGTGTGAGGCAAATTATCTCTGCTGCACCCTGGGTCCCAGGATGCCAATAGAAGGGGAGACAGATTGGCTCATTAGGAAAGGCTCTTTGCTGCAAAAGCAGGGTTTGCTCAAGGGCCAGGCTCCCCTGCCTGTTGCTGCCCTGGTGAAGGGTCAGGCACTCAGCCCCACAGAGTAGTCTCTCTATTCCTACACTGTCGCTACCCTGTGGCCCCAAAGCTGCCCATCCACCTGCCTCAGTGGATTTTCTTCTTTCCTTCAGTTACTGACCAGGTCGGCCTTTTTTATTTTATTTATTTATTTATTTATTTATTTTTTCTGCTTTGCGGTACCAGGGATTCAACTCAGGACCTTGTGCTTGCCAGATAGGAACTTATGCCACTGAGCTATCTCCTTGGCCCCGGGGTCGACTAACGTTTGTCACCTCCTTTTTCTTTGTCCTAGGCTACTCTTGTTTGCAGAGCCACACGCTGCACATATTTCTGGTCTGTCATTTCCAGTAATTAGCTCTAGAAAGTTGCCACAGCACCATTAGAAGCTAACAGGAACCAGCATTTACTGTGGGCCAGCGCTGGTTTGCTCACTACAGCCCTCCAGTGGACGCTGATAGTATTTGCATTTACTCTGTGAGTGACTCGAGGCAGCCAAAGGCTACAGATGGGAATGAGACTGGATCCCAGAAGCCTAACAGCTTAAGCGGACTTCCCTCCTGTGAGATGACCTGTCCAACCCCCGGGCGGTTGCAGGGGGAGCTGTGCTTCCGCACCACCCACTGCAGCGCAGGGCACGTGCTTTGGGCCAGCAGACCCATTTTAAGGCTCATCTCTGTTATTTACTAGTAATTACTCAACCTTTCCAAGGCTCAATTTCCATGGCTGTAAAATGGGTTAACAGTAACCACCTATTAGGCTGAGTGGGAAGCTCAGATGAGATATTTGTACGGTACAGAAATCAGTAGCAGGACATAAAAAGACTCAATAAGTGGCAATTAATAGTGTTGTTACAATATACAAACCTTTAAGTACTGATCTATTCGGGAAGACTGACCAAAGGGTTCAGGCTGATGTGATAGCTTTGCAAGAGATAATGATGCCATTTGGATTTATTTTCTTCTAAAATGGACCATACCTGAAAGGCTGGAAAGCAGAAGTAGAATCTCTAATTCAAAACATTATCATCTGGGAATGGTAGTGAACTCACAACTCTGGGAGGCTGAGGTAGGATTGGAAGATGGAGCCTCGCCTGGGTAACTAGTGACTTAGTGAGACTCTGTCTAAGGAAAAACAAAACAAACAAACAAACAAACAAACAAAAAACCAAAAACACAAGGGCTGGGAATGTAGGTAAGTGAAAAGGCTCTGGTTCAAGCTCAGTATACCCTCCTCCCAAACCAAAACCAAACCAAACCAAACAACAACAAAACAAAACAAAACAAAACAACCAAAAAAACCCCAACCATGCTATTACTTTCACTGGTCTATTTTTTTTTTTTTTCTGTTGTAGGAGAGGGTCACGAAGTTAGGGAATAATGAGGAATTTTAGGTGTAGAAACTAAATGTTCAACTGAGTACGAAGAGCCTGGCTCAGTGCCCACTGAATGTTAGGCTCTGGGACCAGCACTTGAAGTGGCGAGAACATGAAGCCCAGCCTAACAGGACGAGGAAAAGAAGTGAGGTGTTGTTGTTTTTTAGAAGTGAGCTTCTTGAAGAGGCAGTGTTTAAACTGAGGCCTGCTGGCTAGGTGTGGTGAGAATACTTGTAGTCCCAACATTCTGGGAGGCTGAGGCAGAAGGATCACAAGTTAGAGTCCAGCCTGGGTAATTTGGCAAGTTTCTGTTTAAAAACAAAAAGCCTCGGGTGGGCCAAACAGCTCAGTGGACTAAAGCGCCTGCTTACACAGGCGCAGGGACTGGGTCTCAATTCCAGGGTTTTATTCCCCTGGGGTTCGATCCCCAGCATGCTGTGATGGCCCCCGCTCCCGGGGTGGCCTGAGACAGCGAATGAGACAGAGTGGTGGAGTAGTGGTGTGTGCCTGTAATCCCAGTGCTTGGGAGGCTGAAGACAGAAGGCTCACTATGAGTCCGGTCTGCGTAGTGAGACCCTCTAGTCCCTGTACCAACTACATAAAAAGGGAGGGGAGGCAGGGAGATGGCTCCGTAGAATAAGCGCTTCCCTGGCGAGCACAAGGGCCTGAGTTCAATCCCTGGTTCCGCAAAAAAAAAAAAAAAAGCCCGAATGAAGGAGTAAGAGTATCATCTGGGGGAGTATCATCTGGGGAGGGGCTTACAGAGCAGAATAGGACTCAGGCAGCAGGAAATACGAAGGGTCTGAGCTGAATCCACGAAGCGCCATAGAACATAGAACAAGAATGCCCTCATTTCTCCCCAGTTCAAAGTGTTACCTCAGTGGCGGCCACGTGCGCGCGCATTCAGCCCCGTCTGTCTCCAGGGAACCTGAACCCAACCACCGCACACTCAGCATGTCCCACACCAACCTCAGCTACACCCTCTTTGTTTTTTCCTTATGTTCACCTAGTTTCCCAGAGTTGGAAATGCGAGCGCCACCCTGCGGCAGCGTGTGGTTGTGGCTGTTTCCATACTGTGGATGAGGACTCGCCGTAGTGTTCCCCTCAGCCCGCCTCCCCAGTGGATGCCCCTGGGCAGTGGCATTCACCTTTCTGCTGATCACATCTGAAAGACACTCATGAAGAAGGACTTCCAGAACTGCTTCAAAGTGGCAAGAACAGGGGCCGGGGAGATGGCTCGGTAGAATAAGCGCCTGCCAGGCAAGCCCAAGGGCCTGAGTTCAATCCCCACTTCTGCAAAAAAAAAAAAAAAAAAAAAGGAAAAAGAAAAGAAAAGAAAGTGGCAAGAACAATGGGATGAGTGTGTGCAAAGCCGGGGGAGTGTCTTGAGGGAGATGAATGGCAATGTGTTTTTATTGTAATAATTAAAAAATAGTAAAAGAATCATTACATATCATGTGCAAGTACAAATTTCTTATGATGAATGTGATCATTATACAAACCTAAAATGTACCAATAGACTTAATTTAAAAATAATTTAAAAATACTAAAATGTTCATTGTTTTTTTTTTTTGTTTTTTTTTTTTTTTATTTGTGGTTTTCTTTTCTAATGGGGATTTTTTTAAATTTACTTTCTTTTTTCTTTTTTTTTTTGAGACAAGGTCTTGTTGTGCAGTTCAGGCAAACCTTGAGTTTACATTGTAGCCCAGGCTGGTCTCAAACTCACAACAAGCCTCCTGCCTCAGCCTCCAGAGTGCCGGGATTACAGGGGTGAGACCATGCCTGGCCTCACTGTACATTTTGATCGTATCTCAGATATGGAACTCAGATTCTGGAAGGAAATTTGGAGACTCCTCCAACCAGTGTGGTGTAGGTGTCCTGACGTGGGGTTTAACTACTTACGGAGAATGAGGGGCAGAGAGGAGGATGTGGGTCTCAAGGATCACCAACATTTAAGAGAAGGCTAAGGAAGAGACATAGTGGACAGGAAGAAAGGAGAACTAGAGCACTGGCTAGATGGGAATGTGACAAATGGCACTGAGAGGTCACGACTAAGGAATGAAGATGTAGTCATGTGAGGAGAAAACCATTGGTAACCTAGGTGAGGCCTGCCCCAGAGGAGTGGGGGCCACAGAAACCAGAAGGCAGAGGGCAGGAGAGCAAGCAGGGGAGGCAAGGTGGAGCCAGGGAGCACTAGGAACCTTTTCAGCAAGTGGCATCAGGATGGGCAGGAGCTGCAACTCAGCTGTGAGTCTGGGATTTAATTTTATGTTTTAAGGTGGAAGAGATTTCTGCATATTTGCTGATGGAAAAAGCTGGTAGTGAAGTGAAGGAGAAAGCTATAAGAAAGGAAAAATACAGCTTCTACAGACAGTTCAAGGGCAGAATACAAATTAGTGCTAGACAAAAGGAATAGCAACTTTAGCTTTCATGGGAGTACAGAAAGAAGGATGGAGGGGAAGAATAACAGGAAGTCAAAGAGTTTTTGACTTTTGGCATATTTTTATCACTAGATGTCCTGTTCTAAAATATTAGAGGCAGGTGTGGTGGTGCGTGCCTAGAATTCCAGCACTCAGAGGCCAAAGCAGAAGGATCACTTCAAGTTGAAGGCCAGCCTGGGATACATAGTGAGACCCTGCCTTAAAAAATAAATAAAATTTTGGGGCTGGAGAGATGGCTCAGTAGAATAAGTGCTTCCCTGGAAAGTACAAAGGTCTGAGTTCAATCCCCCCCAAATAATAATAAATAAATAAAATACAATACAATAAAATTGGAGAGAATCGGGAGAAAAACTCCCTCAACAACTTTGTTTTCTGTTCAGCAAAGGATACGTGATCCTAAGGCAGGTAGTCAAGCGAGCGAGGAATAAGCTGGCTCCCTGGGAAAACTCCTGCTCCAGCTCAGGGCCAGTCTTGCCTTGGTTGGTTTCAATGAAATTGTTAAGGATGTGACTCCTTGCGACTTTCTCAGCATTGTCCCACTCTTGTAAGAAACTTAAAAGCCTGCTGATTGCTGCCTGCTCCTTTATAGAAGTCATGATCAGTGAGTCCTGGGTGTGGCTGAAGAGGAAGGGAAAATAGACAGGTTAACAGCTACTTAGAACCCTGAAAATCTACACTCTGGTGGCTTTCGCTTTTCTGCTGATTTGCTGGGACAGTCACACAGAAACTCACTCTAGGGAGGCTCAGTGGGTTAGGATAGAATGGAGGACAGCAAGGTAGTGCGTGTGGCGGCACATACCTGTCATCCCAGCTACTCGGGAGGCTGAGCCAGGAGCCTGCAAGTTCGAGGACAACCTGTGCAACTTAGTGAGGGCCTGGCTCAAAAGAAAAGACTGGGGATGTAGCTCAGTGGTAGAGTGCTTGCCTAGCATGTGTGGCCTGGATTCCACCCCTCAAGCCAAAAAGAATAGCAAGGGAATAAGTGTCTGGTTTTTTTTGTTTGTTTGTTTGTTTTTGTTTTTTAAATGAGACAGCGTCTCCCTATGTAGTTCAGGTGGGCCTTGAATGCACTCTGCAGTCCATGCTGGCTTTGAACTCACAATAATCCTGCCTAAACCTCCAGAGTGCTGGGTTTATAGACATGCACCACCATGTCCAGCTCTTTTGTTTTTTGTCTTTTTGAGACAAGGTTTCACTATGCAATTCAGGCTGGCCTTGAACTCACTTTGTAGCCCAGGCTGGCCTCAAATTTGCGCTAATCCTCCTGCCTCAGCAACCAGAGTGAGGGGATTAGAGGCATGTACCATCGTATTTGGCCCTGACTGCTCTTTTTAATACATATTTTGTTGTATTGTGACAGGGCCTCACCATGTATTCCAGGCTGGCTTGAACTTGTAATCAAGCCTCTTGCCTCAGCCTCTCCAGAGAAGGGCAATGCACCTGATCAAATGTCTGGTCTTTAAGAGTTAAAGGGTTTCCTGGTGAAGCCAGCAATGGAAGGACCACAGTATCAAGCTGAGCATGAGGGTGCTTGTGAAGAAGCTGGCCTCTCTCCCAGCTGGCTTTACATGGGCTCAGAGACTTGGGGTCCCTGAAGATCTAGCCTTCTCTAATGCAAACATGATAAGGGAAAGTGCTCCCTAACCTTGAACCTGGGGTTTTACACTAATTCCTCAAGACAACTTTTTTAAAAAGTTGGTGGTAAGAAAAAAGTTCCTATTCCATAGTTGGATTAATGGGCTGTGGTTTGTAGGAGTCTGTGTCCTTGGGAGAGTGTTTTCAGTGGGGGAGGGAAGGTTTAAAATAAACCCGTTTTCCAAAAATAGTTGTGATTGAAAGTGTTATTATCCATAACAAATGTTAGTGCTGATGGGAGAGAGGCATGTGCGATTCTTTTGTCTAACAGACAAGTGAAAGTCATATTTCACATTATCATGGGGTTTTCTGTGATTTACAGAATATTTGTGAAACATTACTTGCAGGGCCATGATTGATACGGAGAGAACAGCTTGGGAGAAGGGAGATGTGTATTTCACAAAGACTGTTCAACATGAAATTTACAGTCCCATAAAGTGCTTCTACATCCTCGCCAGAGATCTAGTTAAAAGGACTTTACAGTCTGAAACATCCTAAAATTGATTCTAAATTAACGTTTCCTCACATGTATTTGAGATATTGATGGGGCTCAGCTATCAGAATTTTATTAGGAAGCAATAATGTGAGGCACACAGAGACAGACACACATACACAGCAACCTCCACGGCCTCAGAGGTCACTGGCTGTGCGATCCTGGGAGGGAAAGCAACCCCGAGATCCTGGCAGCCTCAAGAATGGGGTGCACAGATGTGCACGAACCTAAACACAAGAATGACCAAAGCCCGGCACGAGAGGCAGCCATCAATCACTGTGAATGCCGCGCTGGTCCTAGAGCTGAGAATAACTTTATGAGGCTGTGTCCACCTCCAGCAGCCATGCTGCCTCAAGAAAACAAGTGAGGGGCTGTCCTAGACCCAGAGAGAAGGGCGGAGATGCCAGCACGAGCCTTATCAGGATGGACGGCAATCAAAACTCAAAGTAGAAGCAGATATGCACCCAGAGTTCCAGGACACCAAGGCAGGAAGCACTAAGCAGGATGCTCTTACTAAGCCTTTTCGCCAGGATTCTTGAATCTTTCTTTCTTTTTTTGTTTGCGGAACCGGGGATTGGACTCAGGCCCTTGCACTTGCCAGGCAAGCACTTATTCTACTGAGCTATCTCCCCGGCCCCTATCTTCTCCTATTTTGAAACTAGGGGAAAAAAAATGACAACAACAACAACAAAAAACCCACCTCAAAGTAGCAGCTTTTAAGGTCACAGTGAGAGGGCACAAGTGCCAGCGCAGTGCCCCATCAGGTGGCTCTGTGCTGGGTGCCAGTGGAGGAGCCCAAGCTCTGGAATCAGACTGGGTTCAAGACTCAGCTCTGTGCCTTGCTGTTTAGTGAAAGATGAAATAGTACCTGTCTTATCCTACCACTCCCCAGGCCCTGCACTGAGGCAGCCACAGTCAGTCCTCCTGGCTATGTCTTCTCTATTTCCAAATAAAGAGTGTATTCTACTTGCTACTGGCTGAACTGGGTCTTTCCAAGTCCATGTGTTGAAGTGGGAACTCTTCAGTACCTCAGAATGGGACCGTATCTGGAGAAAGGGTCTTTAAAGAGACAGTGAAGGTAAAATGAAGTCATTAGGGTGGGCCCTTATCTGATACACTTGGTGTCCTTCTGAGATGCTCTTAGGACTCAGACACACACTGAGGGAAGACAGGTGATGACACAGCGATGAGGTGGTGCAGAGGCAACCATCCCTGCAATATCCAACATCAGTCTTCCAGCCTCCGGACAGGACCAAATCAGTTTCTACTGCTTAAGCCACCCAGTCTGTGGCAGCCCAGGAATCTAACAGCTTTATTTATTTATTTATTTATTTATTTATTTATTTATTTATTGGTGGAACGGGGGATTGAACTCATGCCCTTGCGCTTGCCAGACAAGCGCTTATTCTACTGAGCTATCTCCCCGGCTCCTCTATCAGCTCTATACAATATTTATTATGGCAGTTAAGGACTTAGTTCTCTTGTAGACTCTCTCACTTCCTCTTTTAGCCTAACAATGTAGTTTCCTATAAATTAACAGTTAAATCCATAGTATTTACATTATTGACCAAGTAAACTCTTCCCTCAGTGAACCATGACTATTTTTTTCTTAGCACTTGGTTTTACCTGGAATTTTGCATCACATTTTCTTTTCATGTAGTTCTAAGTACCTAGTTACTGGCTCCCATGCACCAGATATACCAAATGTATAGCAGATATTTTTCTAAAGTTCAGCACTTAACTGACCATTTCCATCTCTTCCCTGGAGACCTGAGTTGTACAGACTGTGGTTTTTTTTTTCCTCCTTTAGCTGCTGGTCACTTCTCACTAAACCTGGGACAAGTGCCTAAGGTTTCCTTTAGCTATTTGTTATGGTTTGTGTCTAGTTGTTCCCCCAAAGCCTCATGCAGTCATGGGGTGAGGACTTCTAGAGTTTGCATTAACTCATGATCCACTGGGATTACGTGTGATCCAAGGCTGGGATTATGGGTTTTAGTACTGCTGGGATTACCCATAGGTGGGTAAATACTGGGAAGTACCCCTAGGTGTGAGTATTTCCCCTACCTTGGGGCAGGTAATTTGCATTACAATGTAAGGTGGGAAGAGAAGCTAGCTGCTTGAGCTGCTGCTACCTCTCCCTTGTGCTCTTGCTCTTTGCCGCCGCCATGAAAGGTTGCTTTCTGCTCTGTGCTGCTCTGCATTGGACCCAGCTGAGTATGGACTGAAACCTCCAGTGAAACCTCCAGTAACTGTGAGCTAAATAAACCTTTCCTTCCTTCATTTTGTTTTTTTTTTTAATTTTATTTATTTATTTATGTGTGTGTGTGTGTGTGTGGCCAGCTCAGCCCACCAGGGGGCGGGGCTGGCTGGCAGGTGGTGCTGGAGGATTGAACCGCGGTCCCTGTGCTTTGCTAAGCTTGTTCTAAGTAGGCGCTTTAGACCACTGAGCCATCTCACCAGCCCCATCCTTCCTTCATTTTGAGTGTTGGATATTTGTCCCAGCAACGAGAGAAGAGTAACTAAGACACTATTATTCTGTGCTGATCCTACATCTTCCCTTTTGCTTTGTTCCTTTGTTTTGTTAAACCACATTCTTTTTTTTAAATATTTATTTATTTATTTATTTATTGTGTGTGTGTGTGTGTGTGTGTGTGTGTGTGTGTCTGTGGCCAGCTTAGCCCACCAGGGGGCAGGGCGGGCTGGCATGTGGTGCTGGGGGATTGAACTGCGGTCCCTGTGGTTTGCTTAGCTTAGCTTGTTCTAAGTAGGTGCTTTAGACCACTGAGCCATCTCACCAGCTCCAAACCACATTCTTTAGTATGTGAGTGTACATCCCAGAAAGTCTGGAAATCTTTTTTTTTTGTATTAGAAATCAAACTCAGGACCTTTTGATTGATTGTGAGGCAGGCACTTATGCCGGTGAGCTATCTCCTTGGACCTGGAAATATTTTTGACCTTGTGTTGAGGAAAGACTGGGTGAGTGGGCTGGTGAGATGGCTCAGTGGTCTAAGGTACCTACTTGGAACAAGCTTGACAAAGCACAGGGACCACGGTTCGATCCCCCAGCACCACATGCCAGCCAGTCCGCCCCCTGGTGGACTGAGCTGGCCACACACACACACAAATAAATAAATAAATTAATTAAAAAAATAAAATAAAATTAAAAAAAAAAAAAAAAAAAAGACTGGGTGAGTGACTCGGTGTTAGAAATGAAGTTGCCTACCAATTGCTGTTGCTGATGAGAGGTCGAATATGATCTTGATTTCTATGCCTTTGAAAGCTTTTCTAAAAGTGTATGATGGTAAACATGGTGGCTTATACCTGTACTCCCAACACTTAGGTGGCTGAGGCAGAACGATAGCTATGAGTTCAAGGCCATCCTGGGCTATAAAGTGAGACCCTGTCTCAAAAAAAAAAAAAAAAAAAAAAAAAGATGGCATACCTTGGTACAGATGTTTTTTATTTACTGTACTAGGTCCTGGCTGGGCTT